ATTTAAACTTTTTATTTATTACCACCCTAAACTACCAGTGTGTAGTGTATATATGTATTATAACATAGGTTTTAAAAGGTGCATCACTAAAATTACACAAGCGGTCGAGAGACCCCCGACAGGAACGAAGTTCCTCACAAATTTATATACAGATAACTTAAATGTATATAAATAATTAATAATTAACACACAAATATCATTAAACGTTTGGAAATAGTAAATACTTATTACATGTATCAAAACATAAAATTTTATTAACTTTTCTAAGTTTTTATTGCACTAAATTGCTGCAGTTTCCATTTCTTATATCTCAATTACAAAATAGCAATAATCAGACAATATAACTCATTTTTAATATACTATAGACATCGAGCAATGTACATTGTACACGTCTCATCGAAGAAAGGCCTGCACAGAGTGCACACGAATTTCTTACAACATTCACTCCTCACTGGTACTTTTGTCACGAGTACTAGGGGACCACGAACCTCAAGGAGTGCTCATTATATATGTACACTTATGCTCGCCTGGTACTTGTGATGACGTCACATGGGATGCTCTTCTATACAGATAACTAAAATTGAAGTGTCTGTTTGTAATGTCAAAATAACAGCGTTTTACTAAATGCAGAAATTATATACGGTATTTATAAGAAAAACACACAATTTTTTTAATTTTTGTCTGTCTGTTTGTTTGTTTCGGATAATCCCTGAAACGGCTAGACCGATTTTGACGGGACTTTCACTGTATGATAGCTGATGTTATAGGGAGTAACATAGGCTACTTTTATTTAAAAAAAGAATTAAAGTTCCGCTCAATAAAATTAAAACGTACCTAGGGACGAACCCGAGCGAAGCGACGGTGAGTCGCTAGTAGTAAATAATAAAGCATCATCTTTTTCGTGACGTAACTAACCTTTTTCGTTACGTGACGATTTCTACCTGTCAAATCCTACCGCAAGCCGCGTTAAGAACCTTTGTTCTAATAAACTTTTAAGTTTTATATCGATGTCTATTATAAAAAAAAAACGCCCAAGTAATCTCAGTATGTCTTTATAGTAAAGATAGTGGGTTTGAGTCCTATTCGGTTAAAATAATTTTTTGACGCGTTTGTGTTTGTTTTCCACGTACATTTTATAGACATTCAAAACAAGGAAACTTTTGAGTATATAGCGTTATTCATGTACCTATTAGACTATAAATGTTATGTTTATTTGTCATATAAACACCTTGGGTAATTTAGTTATTGTACCTTTCTTATAATGGTGCTTAATACTTCATAAAATGCAAATGTGATGATTCAAACAAGTAGAATACAATAATAACTTTACTAGTAAACTCCGTGGAATCTCCATTTTCCGTTGAATATTTTAATATGGATGACACGAATTTGAACAGTCTATGTATAGTATTATTAATATTATAAAGAGGTAAAGTTTGTGAGGTTGTAGTGGGTAATCTCTGGATCTACTGAGTCGATTTAGATGAAATTTGGTAAGAAGATAGTTTGAGACCCTAGGAAGGACATAGGAATATTTTTCATCCCGGAAATCATTCCTAAAGGGGGTGAAAATGGGGATGAAAGTTTGTAATGAGAAGCAAGCTAGTAATTTTATATAAATAACACTTTATCAAAGTTAATCAAATATTTAATAAACTAGAGTCTAGACAAACAATTCTTGCTTTATTTTAAATGTTAATTAATACGCTTTACTATAGGTAGTTGCTATAAAGGTTAAATCTTATTAATCTTATAATACTTTCTTAGATTTACGCGAATGTTTGACATTATTAAATAAAACTATCTTTTCGGATTATTTCGCGGATTTATTTTGATTTTTGGTTCCCGACGTTTCGAATGCTTTACAGCATCCATGGTCACGGGAGAGACTGAGGTGTTACATGTCTTAAAGATATAGTTGTTACAGACAGCCTACCCACAATTTTAGGCTTATTAATCTTTTTTATTTTTTTATTTTTTCTTTTTTATTATCTTATTAATCTTATCAATGTATTAATTTGAATGACTAACTTTTTGCCAGTTCCTTAAACTAACGCTAGTTCTATTTACTTTCATTTTTTTTATATAACATGACAGATACTGACCGAAAATAAAATGTTTTATATCATCTAACAATACCGTTTAAATACATGATAGATATCAGGAAGTCCCGATGTATGATGGAAGATAGTAAGTACTAAGTATGTTTACCTTAGTGCTGTTTTATTTATCCGCTAAGTAAAAAACTTAATTTTCTTTAACTAGTTTATTGACGACACGTTTGGCTCAGTTTGTAGTGGCTCTACTTGCGGTGCCTTCGGTCGCGGGTTCGAGTCCCGCTGGGGCATTCATTTGTGTGATGAGCAAGAATATTAATTGTACTTCAGTCATGGGTGTTTATAATTATAATATGTATTTATTTAAAAAGTTATATATGTGTAGTTTATGAACTATCTGGTATCCATAACAAAAGCCTCGTAGCTTACTATGGAACTAGATGGTGCTGTGTGTTAATGGCCCAACATATTTATTTATTTATTCATTTATTGAAACAATCTATGATGTTTATTAATACTGAAAGTTTGTAAATTTGTACCTACTAATCTTAGGAACTACCGATACTAACAATGCCATTTAAGTATATAACTCTTTTGTATTAGATAAACTATTAATTGAATGAGATTATAAAGTACATAGTATGTTGGTCTTTCCGTCTCTGTAAGATACAGTTTGAGCTTTCCTTTCTCCTCATTTATAAAGCAGATATCATGTCTGATAGATGTAGACTAATCTATACATATAATAAAATTCTAACTGAGACGAATCTGTACAATAAATATTTTTTGGAATATTTTATTGCAATAGTTATTATATAGATACAGATGCCAAATTTAATCTGTACAATAAATATTTTTTGGAATATTTTATTGCAATAGTTATTATATAGGTACAGATGCCAAATTTATCACCGCATCACGAGTAAAACTACAGGACAGATTTTGATGAAATTTCTTATTATGATAGCTGGTTATCTGGGTCAACATATAGGATACTTTTTACTGCGGGAAAATATCTCATCTCTGAGAAATCTATACTAAAAGTTAAAACGCAACTAGGGACGAACCGAAACGGGGCGAGGGTGAGTCGCTAGTTAGAAATAAAAACACAAACTATACAACATAAGCTATATAATCTCACTCTACACTCAGTAAAATGAAAAAGAATCACGATTTGGCAGTATCTACAGTACATTTAAGTATTTATATGTGAGCATTTAATTTTTAGGAACGTTTACCAAAATCCCTCCATTCTGTGTACACGCTTTAAACACAAAATTAACCCGCGAACATTTACAAATATCGGTCAATTAACCGCCAAGCGAGATAACAATTGAAATCGGTTTCACTTTCATCGAGGCCCGGTTAACGCGCTAAATATAATAATAGATCAGTAGATACATCAATGGTCCGCGGTGCATACCTCTTTATTTTTGTTGCATTATAGTCCCTATTCGCACTACAGTAAGAACCATAGATAGTATTCACTTTCAATTTTCCGAACGTCGGCACAGATTAAATAAATGTTCGTATAGTCTGTTGACGCGCGTTTGACCACATGTTTTGTGACTGAATACTTACGGTTTTAATAAATAATAGACGCGCGCTTTGAATTGTTTTCACGTAACCGTATTGTTTTGGATTCGAGTTTAATTTAAAATGTACCTGTGTTCATTTATTATTGATCATTATGAGATTAAACTTTTCTTTTAAATTATTAATTTGTTTGAATATAGTGATATTCAACAAAGAATTATATCTAATCAATTGAGAAATAAACTTAAAATTGCATTTACAAATCTAACTACTGTCAGTTTATTCCTATTTAAATGATAATTTCATTATTAGATATTCTTTTAGTAAGCACTTTCTATTAATATTTTAAAACTTTTAAGATTTTTTTGTTTTCTTTTGTAATCATATAATACATAACACATCGAATGGTAATTTTTAAAAATTATACCAAGTAAACAAATTATTAAATGTACTTAAATGATGTGAAGTGAACAGGTAATTGCAATTTTACAATTACCTGTAATAAATATGAAACGAAACCAGAAGCCCAATGACTCGTAAAACTTACTCGGATACCATAATATTCCCATAAAATTAAGTTTATTTAAAACAATAACATAATTAATGTTCACAAAAAGCCGCGACAAAGGCATTCGTGCTCCTTACTACCATCGAAAAGATTTTACCATTTATTCCACTAACATCTGTACATACAATACGTGTACAATCATAAAAATTGCTCATCCATAAACGCTCTTTATAATAATATAAATTTACAACAAACCAACCGAAATACAACTCTAAGACATACATACAAAGTATATTTTTTATATGTAAATAGACGGTTCATTAGTGATTTGAATGAAAGGGTTGGCAAATCCAACTTCTATTGTTAATAGTCACGCGTCAATATTATAATAATTATGTGCGTTATTATATCGGGTATAAAGCAGTCCGAACTGAAGCTATCAAATTGTGCGTCCAAACTTTTTTTATTACCCTTCAAAAAGTTGGTATTACTAAGGTTGAAAACATAAAAGGTGTGTATCAACTGTCGTGACATCGAGAATATTTTTAGGGAATAAATATAAAAAAAAAAACAATTTAAAATTATAAAAATTATAAAAAAATAACAAAGTATTAATAATATATATAATAAAATTTATATATAATAAAATACTTGTAATAATTGCTTATAGATATAAATCTATTATTATTAGTAAAATTTACTTAAATTATCGGATAAAATATATATATAATAAGAAATGGTTTAAAGATATATTATAATCCAAAAAAAAAAAGTTTTTGTAACAAAATTTCAAATACTTTTATACTTGCACGATTTCATCAATATCCGTTCAGCAATTCCTCGTAGTTTTTCAAATCCCGGTTATAATTGTATGAATTATTAAGGAAAAAAATTCTTACTCTTATCCCATCGGTGGAAACCTGACAACAAAAAATATTATATAGTTCTGATTTTTTAAGACTTCTAGTCGATGATTTTTAGTAATGAATTCAGTAATAAATAAAATTATGTAGAAATGTTACTATATTTACAATTATGTTTTATGTTAGTTATAGGTACCTAATTAAAAAACATGTCAGAAAGGCCCCCAATCCTTTAATATATAATTTGAGCATGTAATCTTATAGGCACTGCTTAACTGCTGCATTATCGTGCACTTGATGTTATTAAAAGAAGTTTTATTAAAGTTTTTATATTTATAATTAACGTCTCAGTACAAACAAATCGCTAGCTATAAACAAACAGCGATATTAATCTCGAAATGTAAGTATTACAGCGGAATGAGTCATTCCTTAATACGATTATTTTCCATAAAAAAGCGCGAACGACGGACATCTTGTTATTTCGATTCTAATTATATTTAATGTGCCTGTTATTTTTTGAGTTTTAATGCGCACCCGCTATAAAAAGATAATCACAAAAATAATTGAAACGAAATAATAAAGACAGAGGGGTGGAAGGCGATTAATGTCGGGGGGAGGCGCGGGATAGTCAGCGCATTACGACCTAAATAATCAACATAATTACACTTTTTACCCCGACTTCCTTCTTGCCCCCTAAGTGCTAGTAAAAGGATTGTCTATTCAAGGTTTTTTAAATGACAGTTATGCTAAATGTTAGTTTTTAACGAGCATTCTCTCTGCTATTTGTATTTGAAAGTAGCTTTTAGTAGTGTAAAGAGAGGTAAGAAGTAATTTGTAACAGATTAAAGTAATATATATTATACAAAAACATGTTTGCCTAAAACAGATATTTTACTATAGAATTTTTATTTTAACTTTATTATTATTAAGAAAGCACTTGTTACATTTTGATTATGGTTTTCACCTTTTTGTTGTATTTGGACTAAATGAACCTAATAAATTAATATTTTCTTTAAAATATAAAATAATTAATTATTAATTATAGCTACAAATTCCCAATAGATAGGATTAACCCACATGACCACATTAAATTACCGCTATCTGGGGCTCTACTTGTTTTCCCTAATGCAAAACAAAATAATCACTTATTTATGCAATAGCCGTGTATAAATGAAAGAACACTTGTAAAAATTGTAATTTTATTAAGTGAATCGCTGGGCATTTCCCACGGTATCTAGTTGATATATATTATATGCATTTCAAGCTTTCATGTCTACGTTAATTATAAAAGCTCTTCCACTCAATAAGTCTTCTTATTTTATATCTTAAATGATCAGATAGGTACGTTTTTAACTTTAAAACTAAATCGTTAACGCATATTAATTACCTAAAAATAGATGTATTCAGCCCTTTTTAACGTCCCACTGCTGGGCACGGGCCTCCCTTCAATACGAGGGGGATCAGACCATAGTCCATCACGCTGGCCAAGTGCGAGTTGGCGGACTTCACATGTCTTTTGAAAACTTGCTAAGTTTTCTCAGACATGCAGGTATCCTCACGATGTTTTCCTTCACCGAAAGGCAAGTGGTAATCATGCTAGAAATGATTCGCATATGAAAATATCAGAGGTGCGTGACCCGGGATTTGAACCCGCATCACTTGATTTCCCAAGCGAACGCGTTACCACTGGGCTACCACTGCCTGCTTAAAAATAGATAGTGTGCTTGTATTATTATATTACAAATGCTAAAGCTTGTTTGTCGGCAGCCTTCTTTCAAGGAGCAACGGATTGACTTGATTGTTTGCATAGAAATAGTAGATTAAGACCGGATATGACGAAGTTACTCTGTAACCCGAGACATCAGTCAACTAAGTATTATTAAGATGTTACATTGTTAAAGTCTTTAATATATTACTTTAACTTATTAATTTTTAATCAAATTAAAAAAAAGAGATAATACTCAATTTGTTTTATATTTAATATAAAATATATCAATATCTTAACCGATTGTGAATCGATTTGTATGACTTTTTCATTATTAAATGATTTTTTTCTTTATCAACCCCCTCAACTAAAGATGCAATCATTATTTTTAAAGTAATTTTAAAGTTTTACCATTTTAGTTAAAGAGTAAATATTATATGTTATTCTTAGTCTCAATTCCATTATATAAAATATTATGTTTATAATGTTCTAGATCAAGTGTAGCTGAAGACTCGGCATATAATTAGAGATAATGAGTCGGCATTCAAGTGTCCGTCTGGATCCTGACGAAGGAGATTCACGAATGATTGGATGTGGCAAAATACATATCTTTAAAAATTACACTATCAGGGTATGTTTTTAAATAATATTATATATTATGCAAAAGTTTGTGAGTGTATACCTACATATATGTATGTTTGTAACTCTTTCACGCAAAAATTCAGAATGGATTTTAATGAAAATTTACAATAATATAGCTCATATATCAGAATAACTCATAGGCTACTTTTTATCCCGTAAAAATGTACGTTTCCCGTGGGATAGATTTGTTTTTGTTTTCCTAGAGGCGAACCCGAGCGAAGCGATGGCAAGTAATTTAAGTAATCTATAATATTTAAATATGTTCAAGCATCAAAATTATTAAGGTAAGTAAACATTTTTTTCTTTTTCGTACCTCCGCCTCTATTTCTTATGAGTTCTGATTAAGACAGGGACCCTAAATGAATGGGTTTAATTCGCTTAAATTTTATATTAAGAGCCTGTATAATTTATAACTTCTACAATAATTGTATTTGGAGCTTTAAGCTTATTTATTGGAGTTTGTATTAGAATATAATTGCCTTATTCCAAAGCTTTAATCAACTAAGTTTTTCAAATAGCTTTCGATCGAAATTGGTAACAAATTTAATTAAAATTATAATCAGGCCTCCTTATGTCTGGAAGAGGAACTTTTAATGATTTTTTTGTTTATATAAATTAATACAACCTTGAGACTGAGTTATAAATTCATAAGACTAAACCTACTTTCAATTAAATAAAAGATTGTAATCATTCAAAATTTAACTGTTTTTGTTCTTAAAAGTTGCGTTTTGCCCATGTATGAATAACCCATTGAAGTATGGAACATTTGTAGGATCACTATTGTGTCTATAGTCATACCACTAACATACAATTAATATGTAAAAGTTTGTAGATATGTGTGTATGTTTGTTACTCTTTCATGCTGAATCGGCTGGCCTAGTTTGGATGCAATTTAATACACAAACAGACTATGACTTGGAATAACACATAGGCTGATGCTATTAATGACATTTAAAAGCTATAATAGCTAAAAGGTGACGCTGCGTGATAATATAACATACAAAAGGCATCTATGGACGCACACGAGCTAGGATCTCACCTCAGATTTTTATTATTTTTTTTTTCTTACTATTGTAAGTTACTAGAGTATTATATATTTAAATTTTAAACAAATGGACATTAACTTGTAAACTTTATGAGTTAACTAGCAACTCACTCTCGCTTCGCCCGGGTTCGTCCCTAATAAGTCTCTGTGCTATCCCAGACCATAATCTATATATGTGCCTCATCCGGATCCGTTCAGCCGTTCTGCCGTGATTGAGTAACAAACATCCAACCAAATTTTCGCATATACTCGAAGTTGCTTTTTGTTATGTACATATTTGTCTTTTTTTAAGTACTACGTAATTTACTAAAAAGTTTTGAGTAAAAATGGAAGCCCAAAACATTCTTAAATGAAGTGTTTTAAATTGTTTATAGAAAAATAATCTTTAAGCACTACACATAAGGTATAATTTAAGTTGTAATTCATAAATATGCACTTGTTACAGCTAATTTGGACTTAGTTTTCCTTATTTTGATGAGATAACATACATTGCTGGTTATCTTAAGATTTTTTTTCTTTAAGTTCTTATATAGAGGGCAATGAAAGAACAAACAACTAAATTGTAGAAAATAATATAAAATGAGGCAAAAAAGGGAACACAAATGCAAACGAACGCTGACTTCTAATTAAAATGATTAACTTAATGGTTTGAGTCATTAGCGATTTTAATTTCAAATTGCATGTTTTTTTTCATAAGCCAAAAATAATATTAACTGTTTTTCATTTGAATGTCATTTTTTATGTTTATAGGTACTTTGAGTGATAGCTTATGAGTACAAAATTTCTTATATAAAAGTAAACTGTTGCTTTTTTTGCAAGTTTTAGTATAAACTAGCAAATCACCCTCGCTCCGCTCTGTCCGGTACGTCTTAAAGTTTAGTATAGATTTCTCAGAAATGAGGTATTTTCCCGCAGTTAAAAGTATTCTATATGTTGCCCCGGATAACCAGCTATCATCGTACCAAATTTCATCAAAATCTGTCCAGTGGTTTTCTCGTGATGCGTTCCCAGACAGACAGACAGACAGACAAAAATTCTAAAAACTATTGATTTGGCCTCGGTCTCGATAATAATAATGACTTTTTCAATAAGATTTTCCAAAAAATATTTAATGTACAGATTCAACTCAGTTAGAATTTTATTATAAATATAGATGAATAAATGAATTACAATAATGCCGACTAATATTAAATGACACTATATGTTAACAATTCCTATATAACGACGTCCGTACTTTAAGAGAAAGTTAGTGAGAAGCAAGTTATTCAATATTTGGTTCTCTATAACAAAGTATGATAAGGAGCTTTTTTAGTTAAACCTGGTTTCATATATACATATGCAATATGTATGTTTGATACATTTGCCTTATAAGCCTATTAAAAGCATGACTTTGAACAACCATAAATAGCAATATTAAAACTATTTATTATACCATTAAATGTACACCTGCATTATCCATACTAATATTATAATATGAAAATGTTTGTTTGCTTGTTTGTCCTTCTTTCACGTCGAAACGGATTGACGGATTGGCGTGATTTTTTGTGTGGAGATAGTTGGAGGGCTGGAGAGTGACATAGGCTACTTTTTACCGCGAGAGATTATCTCATTCCCACAGGAACACACGTTGTAATACAACCCAAAAAATATTTATGATCAGAATTA